AAGCCCTAGGATCAGCCCTCTCCCCTCCAAAAAAATGAGGGCTATAAATAATAAATGCTTACTTGAATATTGTGGAGTGGTAGAGTAATCCTGCTAAGCAGAGGTGGAATGACTAGCAAGGCTCTGCAGAATGTCAATTTAGAAGTCATGAGCCAGTGCTAGAAGCAGGGGCATCAGGTAGTTGGTTCCTGGTCTACTCTGGCCCCTTGAACCTAGGAATTTCTCATTATACCACACTACCTGTCATTGAATGGACTGAGTAAAAAGAAGCCAACCATGGCAAGATTCTTTATGGCATCACCTATTCCTTAAAAATACCAATATTCAGCCGGGCGCTGGTGGCTCACGCCTATAATCCTAGCTACTCAGGAGGCTGAGATCTGAGGATCACGGTTCAAAGCCAGCCCGGGCAGGAGAGACCGTGAGACTCCTATCTCCAATAAACCACCAGAAAACCGGAAGTGGTGCTATAGCTCAAGTGGTAGAGCGCTCGCCTTGAGCTGAAGAGCTGAGGGACAGCACCCAGGCCCAGAGTTCAAGCCCCACGACCGACCAAAAAAAAAAAAAATACCAATATTCAACTCTGAGCATTGGTGGCTCATGTCTGTAATCCTAACTACTCAGGAGGCTGAGATTTGTGGATGGATGTTCTAAGCCAGCCTTTCCAGGAAGGACTGTGAGACTATTTTTTTTTTTCTTTTGGATCTGGTCGTGGGGCCTGAACTCTGGGCCTGGGCGCTGTCCCTCAGCTCTTCAGCTCAAGGCTAGCGCTCTACCACTGAGCCACCTTCCCAGCCCCTGTGAGACTCTTATCTTCAAATAACCACCAAAAAAAGCTGGAAGTGGAACTGTGGCTCAAGCAGTAGAGCACCTGCTTCAAACCAAAAAAGGTCAGGGACAGTGCTCAGGCCCTGAGTTCAAGCTCTCATTTTTGCACACAAAAAATGATCAATAGGGGCTGGGAAGGTGGCTCAGTGGTAGAGTGCTTGCCTTGCATGTATGAGGCCCTGGGTTCGATTCCTCAGCACCACATAAGCAAAAAGAAAAAAGACGGAAGTGGCACTGTGGCTCAAGTGGTAGAGCGCTAGCCTTGAGCTGAAGAGCTGAGGGACAGTGCCCAGGCCCAGAGTTCAGGCCCCATGACTGGACCCAAAAAAACAAAAAAAAGATCAATACTCTTTAGACTGTGTGCAGTTTCTGACTAACAATAATCACATGTTCTTTGGGAAGCTGAATATTATTAAACAGTGTATTGGTCACAAGTTTTAGTTGATAACTAGGTACTATGACCAGGCATGCTGATACACACAGTACTAGGGAAGCTGAAGCAGGAAGGCTGAGAATTCAAGGCCAGCCTGGGCTACATGACAGTTTCTAGAGAGACTCTGTCTCAAAACAAAACAAACCCAATAATAAAAATACTGAAGTATCTATGAAAAACGCATAGCTCAGGCCAGGCCCTCAGAGTTCATGGCTTTATTCCTAGCTACTCAGGAGACCTGAGATTTGAGGATTGCAATTTGAAGCCAGGCTGGGCAGTAAACTCCATGAGACTCTTTTGTGTGTGTGTGTGTGTGTGTCCGGTCGTGGGGCCTGAACTCTGGGCCTGGGCGCTGTCCCTCAGCTCTTCAGCTCAAGGCTAGAGCTCTACCACTTGAGCCACAGAGCCACTTCCGGCTTTTACTTTTTGCTTATGTGGTGCTGAGGAATCGAACCCAGAGCCTCATGCATGCAAGGCAAGCGCTCTACCACTGAGCCACTTTCCCAGCCCTCCATGAGATTCTTATCTTCAATAACTACTCAGAAGTGGCCCTGTGTCCCAAGTGGTAGAGCGCTAGTCTTGAGCAAAAGAAGCTCAGGGACAGCACGTAAGGCCCAGAGTTCAAGCCCCAGGATCATTGAAACAGCAACAACAACAATAAAACCCTCATAGCTCACATCATATATAATGGTGAAAGAGTAAATTATTTCCCCAAGATCAGGAAAAAGACAAGGATACCTGCTCCTGTAAGTTACATTTGATAATGTGGTAGATGCATTAGCTAGGGCAACTAGGCAAGAAAAGAAGTGAAAAGAAAAGATATCCTGTTTAAAAAGGAAGATTTAAAATAATATTTATTTGCATATAATGGAAATGTACTAAAATTCTTTTTTTTTTTTTGGGGGTCCGGTTGTGGGGCCTGAACTCTGGTCCTGGGCGCTGTCCCTCAGCTCTTCAGCTCAAGGCTAGCGCTCTACCATTTGAAACACAGTGCCACTTCCGGCTTTTTTTTTCCGGCTTACGTGGTGCTGAGGAATCGAACCCAGGGCCTCATGCATGCAAGGCAAGCGCTCTACCACTGAGCCACCTTCCCAGCCCCTAAAATTCTTATGTAGAAAAAATACTAAGAAATTGCTGAAAGCAACGTACAATTAATACATAAGACAAACAAGGTGTCAAGACCCAAAATAAATGTACGAAATCAATTGTTTTTTCTACAGTAAGCAAACCAAAAAAGGACCTTAAGGAAATAAGTTCACTTATAATGGCATCAACTATAATAAATATCCAGGAATAAGCAAGCTAGGTGCTGGTGACTCCTGCCTGTAATCCTAGCTACTCAGGAGGCTGAGATCTGATGATGGTTGTTGGAAATGAGCCCAGAAAGGGAAGTCCATGACACTTACCTCCAATAACCAGCAAAAAGCTGGAAGTGGAGCTGGGGCTCAAGTGGTAAATCACTAGCCTTGAGAAAAAAAGCTCAGGAACAGCACCCAGGCCCAGAATTCACACCCTAGGGCTGGCACGCGCGGGCGCGCGCGCGCGCATGCGCACGCACACACACACACACACACACACACACACACACACACACACACACCATCCGCTTCAGAGAGGAAGAATTAAAATGATCTCAATTTGCATAATATGATTTATAAGAAGGAAATACTAAGAATCAACAAAAGCAAACCATAATATGTAAATTTAGCATAGTGGTAAGACCCAAGATTCTACAGTAACAAAACAAAATATGAAATTAAGACAAATCCACTTATAGTATCAACTGTAATAAATATCTGGGAATAAATGGGCCACTGATGGCTCACCCATATAATCTTACCTACTCAGGAGGCTAAAATCTGAGGATCAAGGTTTGAAAGTAGCCTGGGCAGGGAAGTCCATGAGAATCCCAGTTAACTATCAAATTGGTCAGAAGTAGGGCTGGGAAGGTGGCTCAGTGGTAGAGTGTTTGCCTTGCATTGCATGAGGCCCTGGGTTCTATTCCTCAGCACCACATAAACATAAAAAGCTGGAAGTGGTGCTGTGACTCAAATGGTGGAGCACTAGCTTTGAGGTGAGGGACAGTGCTCAGGACCAGAGTTCGAGCCCCATGACCAAGAAAATAATGGTCAGAAGTGGAGCTGTGGCTCAAGTGGTAAAAGTGCTGCCTTGAGCAATAAGCTTAGAACAGTGCCCGTTCCCTGAATTCAAGCCCAAGGACCAGAAAAATGATGATGATGATGATGATGATGATGATGAGATGATGATGATGATGACACAGTTTTTAAAATCACAATATTCTTGTAGGCTTCAATTGAGTAATTCCTTTTCCCCCCTTAATCTTGTTCATCATGACTTTATTCAAAATTTAATATTCTCTCCAAATTGCTTCCACTTACAAAATTGTATGCAGCTCAGGATTAGACCTTAATTGGTGAATTCAAGATGGAAGTGTTTAAAGGAAGACAGTGTCTTTTTTGTGGTGCTTTTGATGAAATACCGAGCTTTAGGTGCATTAAGCAAGCACGCTACCTGTTAGCTATATCCCCACACCAGAAAATGCCATTTATCTGACTATCCTTTCTGGCTAGTGGTAAGTCTGGAAACTATCAGACTTCCTTTTCATTAAGTAATAAAATGTTATGGTGAAAAAGCCTGATGTGAGAAATATATTTTCTTTGTACGTGTGCAGTTTAAACTCAGATCATTATGCTTGCTAGGCTGGTGCTCTACCACTTGAGCCAAACTTTCAGTGTGTTTTTTTGCTGTTTAATTTGGATGTGGAGCTGTTGAACTGTTGAACTGCTGGACAGCTCTTGAACTGTTCTCCTCAGGTTGCTATCAAACCGTGATTCTGTGGCTGTCAGCCTTCTCCATAGCTAGGGTTTCAAGCTTGAGTGACTGCGGCCCAGCAGGAACACAGGTTTGAAAGAAGCATTCTGAAAGAACCATGCTGAGTTAAAGTTTACACTCACAGATAACCCTTGGGGTTTGGCAGTTTTACTTATTGACAGCCTTACTTTTTGAATTAGCTTCATTTGCATGTATACAGGCAAACTCGTGCTTTTTGTGTATTTTCCTACTTAGCAGTCTGATAGCTGTTGTTTTGTGTGATTTCCCAGCAAGACTTCCTAAAGATTGAGGTTTGATCCCCTTTCATACAAATGAGCTATAGATGAACCATTTTTATCCAAATAGTAAATACTGCATAGAGAGAGTGGAAATTTTAGAGAATACTGACAATAGACAATCTCATGCTCTTAAAAAGATGGTACAACTAATACATAGGCTATAAAAAATGGTGAAATCATTTATAGGATATATATGGTGCCCAGAAATAGCATTGTTGGTGGTACAAGATGAAATGAAAAAAATCAAATGCCTGAAGTTCAGAAAAGCATTATGTAGTAAACAGAACAAAAACCACCCATGACGGATATGACAAAGAGGCAGAAATATGTGTGTAAATTCTGCCACTGGTAATTTATGTAACTTCTTCAGAAGTCACATGCTATACGTCAATATCCTCCTTCCCTCTCTCCTTTCCCGTGCGGGGTTTCTTTAGGCCTGGAGCCTCAGGGGCAGTAACCGTTTCCAATGGCCAAGCGGGACAGGAGGTCGCTTCCTCTGTAATTACAAGGAGTCACTAGACCGGTTTGTTCCGGGACTAGTCACAGCGGACACTCCACAGGTAGACATCAGGAGATGGTTGGGCGTGGTTGTCACGAAAATACCGGAAACTCATCTTTCCTTTTCCGGTTGGGGTTCGGTTCCGCAGACCGCGTGCCAACAATGGCAATTTGGGGTGCGGTCTTAGGGAGGCTGAAGGATCAGGTGGAGAAGTGACCTTTAGCGGCCCCCCGCGCTCCTCAGATCTTGGGAGCTTCATTCCCCAAGCATCGCGCGATTTCCGGACGACATAATCTCTCCCCCCCCCCCCCTCCCCAGTCTCTTCCGCCCCCCTCTCCCTGCTAGGCTCGGCAGCGGACTTTCGCACAGCAGAACCTCGGGGGAGGCGTGGCGACCTTGTTTGCCGAGCTGACGGAAAGAAAAGTGGCCTCCGCCGAAGCCAGAGTTGACTAAAGGTAATGGAGAAGCTTCTTTTACCTTTAGATTCGCTTAAGGGAAGCCCCAGAAAGAAAATGGCCAGTTACGATCTTTTTATTTTGGGGAGGGGGATTGCTGCTGCGTCTGAGTGAATGGGAACCGGAGGGGGAGGGCGGGGACACTTCTCAGTACCTGGTGGCGCCGTTGCGAGGCCGCTGGTCATGGAGAGCGTGCGTGATCTGTCCGCAGCAAGGCCTACACGCAGTCTTCTCTAGCCACCTCTCATCCCCAGAAGCATCCTCTTACCTGGTGTAGGAGGATGGAATCCAGCGAGCGATGCTGGAACTCACAACCGACTCACACACAGAGTGCTTAAAAGGATTTTCTGTCGTGTACGTAGACCTTATGGCGATTTAGTGATGGGAACTGAGGCAGTCACATCAACCGCTGCCCCAGCAAAACTGACCAATCTCCACGCATTTATGATTATACTACTGCAGGAAGAACCATTTCTACCTTTAAACACATTGGCTTCTGCTCCCCCTACAAAAAAGCTGGAAAATATCCCCTCGACCTCCTGAGCCACCATTTCTTGGAACACCTTATCATCCTCTGGTAGATCATTCTACTAGATCATCTTTTTGGAAACTTAAGGGAGGTCAAGGCTATGCCCAGCCTTCCTTGACAATACACATTTGATCATATCCTGAGAAAAAGTACTCAAACCTTTCCTGTCTACAAGAATCTTAATCATTACCAACTCAATGTCTAGCTTGAAATTTCCATTGTGTGTGTGTGTGTGTGTGTGTGTGTGTGTGTGTGTGTGTGTGTGTGTGTGTGTTGGTACTGGGATTTAAACTCAGAGCCTGAGCACAGTCCCTTAGCTTTATTGCTCAAAGCCAGGGTACTACTTGAGCCACAGCTCGACTATCATCTTTTTTTTTTTTTTTTTGGTGATAAATTGGACATGAAAGTCTCAAAGACTTTCCTACCCAGACTGGCTTCAAACTGCATTGTTCAGATCTCAACCACCTGAGTAGCTAGGATTATACGTGTATGCTACTGGCAGCTAGCTTCAGTGTCATTTATGTGTATTACAAAGACGTGCATCCCTTGATGATGCAGGGTCATGTGACCTGCTTCCCTAGTGGTAGGACATTTGCGGAGACATTTTTATTTTTCCCCTATTTATGACTAATCTCACTGTCTCAGTTTTCCTCTGATTATTAATACAATGGAAATGAGAATATTAAATGGTCCATGAAACAAAGTTTGTCTTTTTTTTTTCTGTTAGTCATGGGGCTTGAACTCTGGGTCTGGGCGCTGTCCCTCAGCTCCTCAGCTTAAGGCTAGAGCTGTACTACTTGAGCCACAGTACCACTTCTGGTTTTCTGGTGGTTTATTGGAGATAAGAGTCTCACAGACGTTCTTCCAGGGTTGGCTTTGAACCGAGATCCTCAGATCTCACTCAGCCTCCTGAGTAGTTAGGATTACAGGCGTTAGCCACCGGCACCCGGTTAAGTTTGTCTTTTTGAGACCTGAAACAGAATAGAAACTGTTTTTGCACTAATGACAAAAGACTGAGATGATCTGTTAATTTGTGTGTGTGTGTGTGTGTGTGTGTGTGTGTGTGTGTGTGTGTATGTGTGTGTATGCGTGCGCGCGAAAGCGAGCGCGTGCCTGCCAGTACTGGGGCTTGAACTCAGGGCATGGGTGCTCTCCTTAAGCTTTTTTTCAAGGCTTTTTTTGCTCAAGGGCTGAGAACCATGATCCTCAGACTTCTGAGTAGTTAGGATTACAGGTGTGAACTCCCATTTCCAGTAATCTGTTAAAATTTTGAGAAATGCAAAACTAGATATTGTCCAGGAAGCACACAGATTAGGAATTGATTTTTGCCAATTGATTCCTGCTTTCTTTCTCTCTTTCTTTCTCTTTCTTTCTTCCTTCCTTCCTTCCTTCCTTCCTTCCTTCTTTCTTGTCGGTCATGGGGCTTGAACTCTGGGCTTGGGCGCTGTCCCTGTGCTCTGCCACTTGAGTCACAGCGGCACTTCCAGTTTTCTAGTGGTTTATTGGAGATAAGAGTCTCACGGAGTTTCCTGTCTGGGCTGGCTTTGAACCGAGATCCTCAGATCTCAGCCTCCTGAGTAGCTGGGATTACAGATGTGAACCATGGGTGCCCAGCTCGTTTTTTAAAAATCAGTTATAGAGCCTGAGGGTTTTTTTTGTGGGTTTTTTATTTTGGTCGGTCATGAGGCTTGAACTCAGTACCTGGGTGATGTCCCTGGACTCTTTCACTCAAGACTATTGCTCTATCACTTTGAGCCACAGCACCACTTCTGGTTTCCTGATGGTTAATAGAGAAAAGAGTGTCATGGACTTTCCTGCCCCAGCTGGCTTTGAACCTGGATCCTTTAAGATCTGAGGATCCTGAATAGCTAGAATTATAGATGTGAGCCACCAGCGCCTAGCCCCTGAAATTTTTTGCTTAAGGCTAGCACTATACCACTTGGAGCCACAGCTCCTCTTCTGCTATTTTTGGTGGTTAGGTGGAGATAATAGTCTCATGGAATTTCCTGCCTAGGCTGGCTTTGAACTATGATCCTCAAATCTCAGCCTCCTGAGTAATTAGAATTATAGGTATAGGCTACCAGTACTAGGCTGGATACATGTTTTCTGACCCACCAGTGTTTCCATTGTTAAATAAAAAAACCCAGAAGGAACTGTTCAATATTTTTTTTTTCTGACCTGTGGTTTGTTTCAATGTTGAGGGAAACTCCCAGAAGAATAGAAATATACCTCATGAAGTGATCTACCATCCTGGGTGTCCTACCACCTGGCTGTTGATTTTAAAGTGGGAGCAAGAGCTTTTCTGTGTATTTTTCTCTGATAGTAAATACCAAATTATGTGTCATATGACTTTCTTTTTGACATGTAGTGTTTTTCTGCTTCCTTTCTCAGTGCACTTACAAGAAGAGCCATTCATTGGTTTTGCACCAAACCTGATGGGGCCTCAGTTGTCTAAGGTGGCACCAAAAGGGTGTTGGTGTCACATACAGAAGTAAAACTGTTCCTAGACCAAATGATGATGAGAGAGCTGAAGACAAATGTATGCTTGAGCCCCCGCAGGGGGGCTGTGTGGGAGACTAAGAAATCTGCGGAAGACAACGCCAGTCAGATTAAGAAATCCTGTCCACAAATAGAGAGTCTTCGTCCTGAGAGCGCTCATCATCACTTCCGAAGCTTTTGTTACCATGAAGCAACTGGACCACTAGAGGCTGTCCACCAGCTTCAGGCATTGTGCTATAAGTGGCTGAGACCAGAAAGCCACTCAAAAGAACAGATCTTAGAACTACTGGTGCTAGAGCAGTTCCTGGCCATTCTGCCCAAGGAGACCCAGAACTGGGTGCAGAAGCATCATCCACAGAACATCAGACAGGCTGTGGATCTGGTGGAGCGCTTGCAGAGAGAGCCTGGTGGAAAACAGAATGGGGTGAGCACAAAAATGGTTCTTGCATGTACAATGAGATAGGATAGATTCAGGTGCCCTGCATCTTGTATATACATTTTTCTAATTTGGGGAGGGGAAGGGAAATAAAATGTTGAAATGAGGATATGGGTTGACCCATTGTAACAATGAGATGTACAAGACACTATGTTGAAAATGAACTTTACAGCTTTGGCAGGGGCGGGGCAGGGGATGTGGTAGTTGGGGAGGTAGGGAAAGAAGGGATGGTAGGGGAAAAAGAAAGGAGGGGGGTCACAATGCTCGATAGGATGTGTACTCCTTACCTTACTCATGTAACTGTAACCCCTTTGTATAGTATCTTTACAATAAAAATATATATATTAAAAAAAAGGAATAGGACAAAGATGGACATGTCTGGGTTGTAGATTGTAAGGGAATAAGATAGTTTAAATTGCACTTATTCCTTTAGGATAGCCAGACAAAATCCAAATCCTAAGGCATTTCACTAAATCTATAGTTTGACCTGTGGCTATGTATACATGCTTCTAGATTTGAAGGCAGTCAAAAGAAGTCACAGTTATTTTGCAGTTTGTCTTAATTTCCCTAGATTCTATATAGAGTTCTTGATGAGAACAGAGTGACTCAGTGTCACAGCTTGTGTATGTGTGTGTGTGTGTGTGTGTGTGTGTTTAATGTGTGTATGTGATGTGTGCCAGACCTGGGACTTGAACTCATGGCCTACGTACTGTCCCCAAGCTTTTTGCTCAAGGCTAGTGCTCTACCACTTGAGCCACAGCTCCACTTCTAGGTTTTTAGTGGCTACCTCATAGACTTTACTGCCAAGGTTGGCTTTGAACTTTGATCCTCAGATCTCAGCCTCCTGAGTTTTCATTCCTTTAATATGATATTCATCTCCAAATCTGGGCTGTATTCAACTGCTGCCCCAAAGCCAAAACAAGTTTCATGCTAATGAGGATGGGGATTATTTCTAGGTAACAGCCCATGAGCTGGAAAAGGAGTCAGTGCTCTTGAGAGGAATAGCAATGGCTCCTGGCTGCCAGTGGAAGACTAAAGAACTCCTAGCCAATGGGTACTGTTCCAGAAAGGGTGTTGAATACATACTAGGTAGTAATAGAACTGTTCGGCTGGCAATATACACAGAGAAACCCATTTTGTATCTAAAAGAGGTGAGGAGCAGGGTGCCAGTGGCTCACACCTATAATCCTAGTTACTCAGGATGCTGAGATCTGAGGATCACAGTTTAAAGCCATCCTGGGCAGAAAAGTCAATGAAACTCTTACCAGAAAACTGGAAGTGGCACTGTGGGTCAAGTGGTAGAGCACTAGCCTTGAACAAAAAAGCTCAGGGACAGTGCCTAGGCACCAGGTCCTAAGTTCATTCCCTAGGAACAGAACGAAAAAAAGGAAAAAAAAGAGATGAGGAGCTTCATAATTCTCTTCTGGGAGCTGTGATAGTAATTAATAGCAGTTGGAATGTCGTAGAGTTTTTCAGGCACTCACCTATGCTAGCAGTTAGCCTCTTTTCCAGGTACGAGTGTAGTAAGTAGCAATAGCCTGACGTCCAGATACTTCCAAATCATAGAACCCCAGTATTCACCTCATATTTTCTATTCCTTAGACATTTCAGAAGAAAGAGGAAGATAGAAGAAAGGACAGGTGGGGTCACCACAGCCTTTGGATTTATGGGAGGACTTGATATCAGAAATGGGCAGTTAAATGGCAAAGTGTGACAGGGCACTGCTGGCCCACTCCTGTCATCCTGGCTACTCGGGAGGCTGAGATCTGAGGATTGCAGCTCAAAGCCAGTCCAGGCAGGAAAGTCTATGCATCTCTTATCTCCAGTTAATTAGCAAAAGCCAGAAGTAGAACTGGGGCTCAAGTGGCAGAGTACCAGCCATGAGCAAAAAAGCTAAGGGACAGGAATCAGGCCTTGAGTTCAGGTTCCAGTACAGAGAGACGGGGGGTGGGAGAGAGAAAGAGAGATAGAGAAGGGGGATAGAGAGAGGGAAGGAGGGAGAAAGAAAGAGAGAAGGGGGGCATTGGTGGCTCAAACCTGTAAACCAAGCTACTCAGGAGGCTGAGAATGAGGATCGTGATTTGAAGCCAGCCTTCGCAAGAAAGTCCAGGAGACACTTATCTCTAATTAACCCCCCAAAAAAGTGAAGACATGGCTCAAGTGGTAGAATGACATCCTTGAGCAAAAAAGCTCAGGGGCAGTCTCCAGGCCCTGAGTTCAAGATCTCTCTCTCTTTATTTTCTCTCTCTTTCTCTCTCTCTCTCCCTCTCACACACACATAAAAGTGTGTAGAAAATTGTGCACCAAGGAAAAAGATATTCTCCCGTGGTGCCTTCTGTATACCACAGGAGTTGAGTCCTTCATTTGCAAACAATTTTAATTATTGCCCAGCTCAGTGAACAATTTTATGAAGTTTAAATCTATTCTATAATTTCCTTTTATTAATCCCCTAGATTTCATGAGATAAATTAATGTGATAAAATAATGAGATAAATTAAGTAATCTGGGGAACTGACTGTGTGTGATAGCTATTGGGATTCTATTTCACAGGATAGTGCACACACCCTTGTTAAAATGATCCATCTTTTGTTTTTGTTTTTTGTCGGTTGTCGGGCCTGAATTCTGGGCCTGGGCACTGTCCCTCAGCTCTTCAGTTCAAGGCTAGCACTCTACCACTTGAGCCACAGTGCCACTTCTGGCTTTTTCTGCTTATGTGGTGCTGAGGAATCAAACCCAGGGCCTCAGGCACACAAGGCAAGCTCTCTACCACTGAGCCACCTTTCCAGCCCAAGGAGATCCAGCTTTAGTGAAAGTATCCTAAAGCTGATATTCATAACCAAAAAAAGGAGAGATGGTTTGCTCTTTCTGAGCAGAAAAGGTACACGAAGAAGATGGCAACTGAATTCATCTTGCCTGAATCCCAGGCAAGCTGTACTTTCACGTTTTTCACACAACCTTTTCTCTACTTTTACCTGTTGCTAGCATCTAGCAGGAGTACTGGGTGTGGTTAACTCCAGATGTTCTCTAAGCAGCTAGGCTTGGCCCAATGGAAACTTGCATCTCACTTCCTACCCCACTAAATCTTCTAGTCTGGTAGTTTATTTTTTTTTTTAACACTTGGCCCACCATGTAATTCAGATATGGTGCTAAGACTGCTTCTGTATTGCCAAGTACTGACCTAAAGCCCGTTTTCTTCTTTAGAGTTTGCCGACATTTGAAGATGTGGCTGTGTATTTTACTGAGGATGAATGGCAATTACTAGAACCTTCTCAGAAGAACCTCTACAATGATGTAATGCAGGAAAACTATGAGAATGTCATCTTTCTAGGTAAAGACTTTTTTCCTTCCTTTTATATACAAGCTGAATAATATGCTGAGTCCTTGGTATATGGAAAATGTATCCCTGTGAGAGATACCCTGGGTTGCAGTAGCTGGTTGTTTTCAACTTTATGATGTAGGGAGAAAGAAAGGTATATTCTATATCACTTGGGGTATACATACACATCTTCTTTGTGTGTGTGTGTGTGCTGGTTCTATGGCTTGAACTTAGGACTGGGCACCTTCTGGCTTTTTTACTGCAGGCTGGGGCTCTGCCACTTGAGCCACACAACCATTTCTGGCTTTTTGGTGGGTTAACCGGAGATAAGAGTCTCACAGACTTTTTTTTTTTTTTGGCCTGGGCTAGACTCAAACCACATTCCTCAGATCTCAGGCTCTGGAATGTCTAGGCTAACTATGATTCTTAATGTCACAACTTCACTCTGCAAACATGCTCTTGTTAACATCTTTCTCCATCTCTGTACAAAGATGTACCCAACTGCTCAAGATAGACACCTCTCGGTTATCCTTTATCCACTCTTTCTGTTATATTCCACAGACTCTCTATTAGCAGCTCTCCTTGCTCTATCCTTAATCCATGCCTCTCTCTCTATTTTTTGCCATGCAGGAGATGGAATCCCAGAGCTTTGCATATATTAGGCAGGCATTCTACCACTGGGCTACATACCAGTGTCCTAGTTGATACTCTCTCACCAGCTTAGTTTAGGCAACTTTCATCTTTAACCAAATCTACCTTCAATTAACACTAAGTTCCTATTTCCCATTTCATTTATATCTGTCTTCCTTAGATTTAATTCTTAGCTCATTCTTGCCCATCCACTCATATCCACAGTAGAATATGAAGAAGACATTGGATCCAAGATCTATCCACTTAAACTTTTGGAATAAAGTAATATAAATGTCATTCATTCTTTTTGAAAGAGTCTGAAATTAAGATGGCAGTTTTTGAGCTTAAAGTTTTATTGTCAGAATAGTATTGTACTATAAAGTGATCTATTTAGAGCAAGAAAAGTCATAGACCCAAGGTCCCTAAATGTTTGGGGACAACCTTGAAAAGTTTTCTATAAGGACAAATATACATGAATTGAACCTTTGATAAAACTTTTATAGGGACTTGAACATTTTAGTATTTTGCTCATATTCCTTTCTTTTTATCTGTGCAAATCTTGGGGCTTGAACTTAGGGCCTGGGCCCTATCCCTAAGCTTTATTTTTCCCCTCAAAGCTAGCACTCTACCGCTGGAGCTACAGCCCAACTTTTGGCTTTTTTTGGTGGTTATTTGGAGATTGGAGTCTTATAGACTTTCCTGCCTGGGCTGGCTTTGAACTGTGATAGATGTCAGCCTCCTCTGAGTAGCTAAGATTACAGGTGTAAGCCACCAGTGCCCAGCATATATTTCTTTTTTTGAGCCAAAAATCTCACTATGGAACCCAGGCTACCCTAAAACTTGAGATCCTTCAGTTTGAACCTCTCAAATGCTGAGATTACAGGCCTGTACAACACACCTTGCTTTTTTATTTTTTTTATTTTTATTTTTATTTTTTTTGTCGGTTGTGGGCCTAAACTCTGGGCCTGGACACTGTCCCTCAGCTCTTCAGCTCAAGGTTAGCCCTCTACCACTTGAGCCACAGCGCCACTTCCGGCTTTTGCTGCTTATGTGGTGCTGAGGAATCGAACCCAGGGCCTCATGCATGCAAGGCAAGCGCTCTACCACTGAGCCACCTTCCCAGCCCACACCTTGCTTTTTTAAATTGAACATTTTAAATAGAAATACTTTCGTTAGAGTCACATGCAGATTTAAAATGTAATTAGTATTGAAAGTGGAGGTAGGGCTCATGTGGTGGAGCCCAAGCCTTCAATGAAAATGTGAAGAGAGAGCACAAGGCCCTGAGTTCAAACCCCAGGACTAGCACAAACAAATGTAATACAAAAAATACCCATGTACACATTACTCATTTTTCTCTAATGATAATTCTTGCAAAAGTATTGTGTCATAACCAGAATATTAATGTTGATCTTCCTCCCTGCTGATCTCCCTCAGATTTCTCTGGTTTTACTTGAATTCATTTGTGTGTATGTATGTGTATGTGTGTGTATTAGTTCTGTACAGTTGTATCAAATGTTTGGATCTGTGTGACCATAGTTAAAATACTGAACAGATTGAGTCTTTTTTGCTGCCTCTCCTTCCACACCATACTAACCCATGCCATTATTAATCTGCTTTACATTTCTAAAATTTTGCCACTTTGAAAATGCTATGTGAATGGAATCATAAAATATATGTAACTTTGGGATAGAATGATCAGCTGTAAATTCCTTTAAGCTGTTGTTTGTATCAATAGCATATTCCTTTTTAACTGTTGAGCAGTATTCCATACCACTGTTTGTTTTAGCCTTCACTCCTTGAATGACATCTTTGCTATCTCTAATTTTGGACTTTTACAAGTAAGCTGCTATAAACATTCATTTATAGGTTATTGTGAAGAGTTTTCATTTCTCTGGGTCAACTTCTTCAAGGGCTCAATAGATATTTCATTGTACTCTTTTTTTTTTTTTTTTTTTGCCAGTCCCAGGGCTTGAACTCACTCCTTGAGCCTCTTTGTGCTCAAGACTAGTGCTCTACCATTTGAGCCACAGTGCCACTTCTTGCTTTTTCTGAGTAGTTTAGTGGAGGTCAGAGTTTCATGTCCGGACTGGCTTTGAACCACAGTCCTTAGATCTCAGCCTTCTTTTTTTTTTTTTGTCGTTTGTGGGGCTTGAACTCTGGGCTTGAGTGCTGTCCCTCAGCTCTTCAGCTCAAGGCGAGCACTCTACCACTTGAGCTACAGCACCACTTCCTCAGCCTTCTTAATAGCTAGGATTACAGGCATGAGCCACTGGTGCTCTTAAACAGTGGTTCAATTGCAGTTGTAATGGTATTTACATATTTATGATAATTGCCCATTTAATTTAGAAGATACTTTTCAAGTACTGGCAGCAATATATTAGTGATTCAGTTTCTCCACATCCTTGCCAGTTACAAATTGGCAATAGTGTCAGTATATTAGGACATTTTTAGCCATTCTGATAGGAATGTAGTAATGCCTCTTTGTGGTTCTTATTTGCATTTCTTAAAAGATGATTGGGTGTATAGCTTCTCATTTGCTGATTTGCCATCTCTATATTCTCTTTAGGGAAATATGTTTCTGGCATATATATATATATATATATATATATTTGTTTTGTTTTGTTTTTGTTTTTGTATTTTTTTGGTCTTGGGGCCTGAACTCTGAGCCTGGGTGCTGTCTCTCAGCTCTTTAGCTCAAGGCTAGCGCTCTACCACTTGAGCCACAGTGCCACTTCCAGCTTTTTCTGCTTATGTGGTGCTGAGGAATCAAAGCCAGAGAGTTATTTACATATTCTAAATTCTAATTGTTGGTTGGATGTATGGTTTGTGATTAGTTCTTCCAAATCTTTTTTTTTTTTTTGGTTGGTCGTGAGGCTTGAACTCTAGGCCTGGGCACTGTCCCTGAGCTCTTCATCTCAAGGTTTGCACTCTACCACTTGAGCCACAGTGCCACTTCCAGCCTTTTCTGTTTATGTGGTGCTGAGGAATCGAACCCAGGGTCTCATGCATGCAGGGCAAGCACTCTACCACTGAGCCACCTTTCCAGCCCCAGTTCTTCCAAATCTTTAGATCATCTTTATCCTCTTCCCATGGGTTTTCCCAAAGGGGGAAAAAAAAACTTTCAGAACAGGTGTAGGTCACTGGCGCTGAGCTTTAGCAGGAATAAAATTTGTTATCTTGATAAAGATCAATGTTTTTCCTGCTACAGACGTTTTGGTGTCAAGTCTACAATTCTTATTGATTTAGCCCTAGAACTCTATGATGTATCTTTTTTTTTTTTTTTTTTGCCAGTCCTGGGGCTTGAACTCAGCACTTGGGTACTGTCCCTGAGTTTCTTTTGCTCAAGACTAGCACTCTACCACTTGAGCCACAGCACCAGTTCTAGCTTTTTCCTTTTATGTGGTACTGAGCAATTGAACCTAGGACTTTATGCATGTTAGGCAAGCACTCTACCATTAAGCCACATTTCCAGCCCTATGATATCTCTTAAAACGTTTATAATTTTAGGTTTTATTCATTAATTTCTTTATTTTTGTGCTGATACTAGAGGCTGAACTCAGGGCCTAAGCACTGTCCCTTTAGTTTATGTGCTCAATGCTGGTATCCTATCACTTGAGCCACACCTCTACTTTCATCTCTTTGTTGGTTTACTGGAGATGAGTCTCAGATTTGTCTACTAAAGCTGGATTCAATCCTCGTTCCTCAGTTCTCAACCTCCTATCAAAGATTACATGCATGAGCCATTGACACTGGCTTATAATTTTATGTTTTGCTTTTAAGTTTGTGAACTATTGCAACTTTTTTTAATATAAAGTATGAGGTTTAGGTGGAGTCTATTTGCTTACTTATTTACTTATTTATTTTTATTGACTGATTTATTGCTTATGAATATCCAATTGCTTCAGCATTACTTTTTTTTCTTGGTGCCAGTTCTTGGGGTTGAACTCAGGGCCTGGGCACCTCCCTTAGCTTTGTCACTCAAGGCCACAGCTCTGCTTCTGGTTTTCTGGTGGTTAATTGGAGTCTCACACTTTCCAACCTGGGTTGGTTTTGAACCACGATCCTCAGATCTCAGCTTCCAGTGATTAAGGCATGAGCCTGCTCCCAACTCAGCATTATCTGTTGAAAATTCTATCCTCCCTCCATATAATTACTTCTGTGCTTTTTGGCAAAGATAAGATCAGCATGTTGTGTATGTATAACTATTCTATTCCTTTGAGCCATGAATTGGTTCCTCTAAATACTGAACTCTCTTAATTATGATAGCTGTACACTAACCTATAATACCTTTTGGGCAAAGTAGTTTTGCTGTGAATATTCCACTTTCTTTGTTATGCTAGCTGTATACTATGCTTTAATAAATGTTGAACAGAATGATTTTT